CCACCTCTGTGGGCGGGACTCAGGCAATGCAGCCAGTGGATAGGGACAGCTTCTGAGTGACACGTCATGGAGCCAACTGATTTAGAGGTGTGTGGAATGTTCAGAAAGTGCCACCCCACTACTCAATTATATATAAGGAGAGATATCCCCAAAAAGGGAACTGCATTAAAGCGATGGGTTCTAACATGCTCTTTCTTTGAAAAAAAAATTATCATCTCTTTCTGTATTTTGCACCTAGTGGCAAAAGAGCGGCTCCAAGCATTTTTATCAACCTCTCTGAGAATCAAAGGGTTTTTGAACATTTTGCAACATGGATGTCCGCCCACATAAATCAGTGCAAGATGACCATTTGTTCAGATCTAACCAGGGCCTGACTCTAAGCATGGAAGTCATGAGTCACAAAGGAAAATTTTCAGAAGCGACATAAATAGAGCATCCAATGGCAGGGGTGATGATCCCCCTAGACCCCACTCAAGTACACCTGTTATGTTCCCCCTCCATTTATAGCCTGAGTGTAAGTGCAAACAAGGTTATCAAGTGTGTGCATAGCTGAAAGTTATTACATCAAGGTTCCTTTGTGCAAAAATGAATTTAAATGGCACCTGGAAGTACTAAGCTCCTTTCTGTACCACAAGGGCCTGTTCCCTCCTGATCACAACAGCAGTCCTTCATGGTTCTTCTACTAGCAATCCTGATTGGTTCCAGCATTTTCTGACACCAAAGCTCAAGGCAACTGGGACCCAACAATCACGGCTAGCATATCTCCCCTTGAAGTGGTACTATTTTATTTGCAAGGAGTGTTTTATGTGGGGGAGCATCCCAAAGTAGCTTCCCTCACTTGATGTGGTACAGTTCACTCCACCACCTCATTCTATTGCATGTGTAGACCTCACCGCACTCTGTGTAGAGGCCACATTACACGTTAAATCCATCCCTGTAGCACAGGTTAAATCCATCCCTGAATGCAACAAACATACCTGAGAGTCCCGAATAACATGGTTCGCCTCAAGTTGAATGGAAAATTTCACACCAAGCTCGGAAGAAAATGAGTCCATCGGAGAAAGTGTTCCAGAGGTCAAAACAATTGATCTGACGTTGTCACTTACATCTGAGAAAGCCTGAGAAGAAAAAGAAGTATTCAAATATACACGTCCTGCCTTACTTCAAGGTTTTGAGCCGGCTAACATCATACTAAAAATATATTAAAATCAGAACACTCTCCAACAACTTGGCCAGAGTATACAAAACTTTTCAGCCTCACTGGTGTTCACACAAACTCACAACAACAAGAAGGATTTACAAGTCCTCCTGATGGCTCACTCTGGACTTCTTCTGGCTACCTGCTGCACAAGGCTGGTCCAAAGAACAAGATCATCATGGATTGAACAGGAAAGGACCATCCATGTCACTGAGAGGGCACAGAAAGGAACTACCAGTTAGAGTCTATCTATCTAGATAGAGTCAGGTGGGTAGCTGTGTTGGTCTGAAGCTATTATGTAGCTATTACGTGCAAAAAGATCTGTTGGCTAACCCACCACTTAGGGTAGCCCATCTGGCACTGACCAGAGTGCAGGCCTTCTCTATCGTGGCTCCAGTTCTGTGAAATGCACTCCCTGAAGAGGTGAGGGCCCCCCGTCCTTGGACATCTTCAGGACACGCTGCAAGACTTGCCTGTTTGCCAGGGCTCTGGAGGTGATTTGAATGGTGGGCATCTTTTAAGGGTAGGGGGGAGGGATGGGATTTGGGGTTTATTATTTTATCTTTGGTTTTAGGCAAGGATGTTTTAACTATCATTGTAAGTGGCCTTGAACCAAGAGAGACAGTGGGATATGAATGTTTTAATTAATAAATAACTAATAAACAAATCTGGGGGGAAACTACAGTTCCCCCAGAAAAGCAAATCCAGAAACTGATAGTTCTCAAAAGTTTGCTTACATAGTGGGGGGGAAACCCAATTATTTTCTTCAGAGAATTCCACAGCCATCCTTCCTGTTCCCAAATGTTGTTACTCTGAAGAAGTCATAGTATGGTTGCCAACTTTTTTTGTTTTTTGCACCCAGAAGGAATGAGCAATAAGGAATAATTAAGACATACCCATGCCTTTAACAACGGCATGGCAAGTAGAAATTTAATAGAGGAACCTTTTCCTTCACCCCATCTCCACGCAAGGAAAAGCTTCACCTACTAATTTCTGCTTGCTTTGCAGCTTGGGTTCAATTTGCAAGAAAGGGTTCCAAACACTACCTGTCTGATACCCTGATGGGCTTATGCCATGTGGCAAATACTAGATGGGGTAGAGAAGGCGTAATTTAGGTCAAGAACACAACACAAGGCAAAGCCTCCACTCTCGATACCAGTTCTGAAGTTTAAAAACAAACAAAACAACATCAAAAACTAACAAGAGTTTCAGGACTTCCAGTGGAGATGTAATGGCAGGCTGACATCTTCATGGGGAGTGAAGACACAATGCAGCTAATTACCAACTAGGTGTCAGGGTTCTATAGTCAGATCACACCACACAGCACTTCATAAGAAGTATTCTGTTTATTGGTAGTTCATAACTATGACACTTGAACGTTGTTTGTCAGGAATGGCCCAAAGCAGCAGGGCACCCAAAGTTATAGTAGTTTCAAAGCACCCCCCATTACAAGCATAAGCCAATAAGCATTGTGCATGGTCCTGTGCACGAGAGAGAAAAGTGTGTGGGAGAAAAGTGAGCCGTTCGTTCTCAGCAAGTCAGGAGCAGCTGGAAGCCCAAGGTCAAAAAAGCATACACAGATAACAACCCAGACAGTAGACATCGTTAGTGTACCAGGAAGGATGATCACTCCCCAATATTCCAAAGACGTGGCAGTGTTAACTGACACTAGGAGGGCACTGCAGTTTAAATTAATTACATTTAAATTAGATTAGATTAAAGGGAGATCAGAGAGAGAAACTATGCATACCTGGCCACACTGCTGGACCTCCTGATGGCACCTGATATTTTTGGCCACTGTGTGACAGAGTGTTGGACTGGATGCGCCATTGGCCTGATCCAACATTGGCTTCTCTTATGTTCTTATGATATGTTGTTCTTGTGTACCTCTTGTCAGAACCCACAGCTAACAACGAAGTACACGCATTCAGAAACGGTTATACTTTTATTGAAAAGCTATAGATGCAGTAACATAGGCACTGTTAAGAATGGCAGCAACCCATTTAGCATAATAGAAAGTCCCGAGTCAGCTAAGGAGAGGAGGAATCGGAAAACTCTTTCGAGACCCACTGAAGTGGCTCGAGGGGTGTAATCACCTAGGGAAGAACAGAACCTTCTCCACTTATAATTGTAGGACCTCTGTGTAGTAGGCTTCCTGGAATTCAAAAGGATGTTCACTACTCGGGAGGAGAAGCCGGTGAAGTTATCTGCCATGCCGTCAGTTTCAACTGTGGTATGTCATGGTGTAGGACGGGGGAGTCGGAGAGAAGGAGGAGGTCCTGAGCCGGAGGAAACTGATGGTATATCCCCTGTGATAACTCGAGGACAGTTGAAAACCAAGGTTGTCTCGGCCACCATGGGGTAATTAAGATACAGTCCGCGGCATCTTTCAGTATTTTGCGGACCACTCTCAGAAGCAGAGGTAAGGGGGGGGAGAGGTAAAGAAGTCCCGAGGACCAAGGGTAAAGGAGACCATCTCCCAGAGATTGTGGGTCCTTGCCTCCTCGACTGCAGAACAGAGGGCACTTTTTCTTGTTTCTGTTTGCAAAGACATCGACTTGGGGAACTCCCCACTTTTGGAAGAGTGGGAGGAGGTGTGTTGGGTTCATTCCCCACTCCTGAAGGCTGAGTCCTGCTCGACTTAGATGGTCTGCCTGCACGTTCATGTGTCCGGGAATGTGAGTGGCTACGAGGAATATGTTGTTGGCAATGCAAAGCTCCCACAACTGAATGGCAAGGGTGCAGAGTCGTAGGGAAACAGTGCCTTCCTGTTTGTTGACATAAGAGAGCGCTGTGGTGTTGTCCGTGAGGACTGTGACACATTTTCCCTTGATTAAAGGGAGGAAACTGGTGACAGCATGTTGCCAGGAATTCTAGGAAGTTTATGTGTCACTTCCTCATCTGTGTGTTCCACTTGTCTCCAACAGAAAGGCCCATGGAGTGTGCACCCCATCCCGTCAGGGAAGCATCCGTTGTAATGGTGACCTCGGGTGACGGAGGGTGGAAGGGCGCTCCCTGAAGGATGTTCGAAGGGATAGTCCACCAAAGTAAAGAGTCCTGTATGCTGGGAAGAGGGGATAGGACGACAGTGTGTGCGTTTTTCGATAAACCAGAGCTGTAAAGGGCACATTTTGAGTTTGGCAAAGACGAGGATCGACATTGTTGCAGCCATCAGGCCCAGTAGCTTCTGAATTTGGGAGGCAGTGACAGAGGGTTGGGTACGGATGATGGTGGCTAAGGAAATGATATCTGCTGCCCTGGCATGGGGCAGGTAAGCCATGCATGTCTTTGAATCCAGTATTGCGCCAATGTACTGTATTCACTGGAGCGGACACAATTGAGACTTTTGTCGATTGACTCGTAGGCCCAGATTCTCCAATAGTGCCAGAGTCTCTGTGACATTGGAGACCAGGGCATCCTTGGAAGGCGCTACCAGAAGCCAATCGTCTATGTATGGGTAGATGGAGATACCCCGGAGACGGAGGAAAGCTGCAACCACAATCATAGTCTTTGTGAAGACCCTTGGGGCGCCGCTGGACAGGCCAAATGGAAGGGCCGTATACTGGTTTTTGTTTTTTTTAATTAACATTTTATTGAATTTCAACAAGTTTTATAAAGCAGAAACAGTTTTTACACAGGTATAACGACAAAAAGAACATTAACACTAGTATCGACCATGAGAGGTGAATGACAACACTGCCTATGTAAGGAAGAAAAAAGAGAACTCCAAACCTAATAACTTCATGAACCAGTAGCAGTAGTTTCCGGATCTTATAAAAGCATTACCTCAGTATTATGCAGAGCCCATTTTTCACAAATCAACTTATCTGCTTCTACTTTTTCTAAGAAAGGAAACCATTTGTCTAATGGGTTTAGCATTAGCCTCATCATTACTGTTCTATCTGAATACTACCACAAACTTTTCTAGGGTAAAATAATCCCATACTTTGCTTAGCCACTGGTCTAGTGTGGGGGGCATTTCATTTTTCCATTGTTGAGCAATGGTTGCTTTCGCCGCTGTCAATAGAGTTAAAATCAGATCTGTACGGATTCTGGGGATCTGAGCCTCTTCCAAAAGGTTTAGCAGAATAATGGCTGGATCCATGGGGATACTGCAGCCTGTAAAGTATTTTATGAATTGCAGTATTTGTTTCCAGAAATTCTGGACGTGGACACATTCCCACCACATGTGAATAAAAGAACCCTTCGAACCACATTTCTTCCAGCATAATGGGCTTATGGTAGAGAACATGTGTGCTAATCTGACTGGCGTGAGGTACCATCTGAATAAAACTTTGTAAGCTGCAGCCTGAATCGTTAGAGATCTGGAGATGCGGTTTGTATCATGCTATTATCTTCTCCCACTTATCTTTTGGAAGAGTAATGTTTAGATCTTTTTGCCACACTTGTTGGTACGTAGTCAGATGGTTAGTATGGAGCTCAGATAAAATTGTATATATTTTAGATATAAGTCCTTTCTTTTGACAATTAGTGTATTTAAGAAGATTTTCAAAATCCGATAACCCAGAGTTTGGAGAAGTATCTTCACTTGTGGTAAGTATTGATTGTAATAATTGTTGGAGTTGCATATATTCGAACCAATTAATTTTAATCTTGTACTTCTTTTCCAGTTTGTTTTTAGTTAAGCATCGTCTGTTACGGGTAACATCAATTAGTCTTGTGATTCCCGCAGACTTCCAAACTTTGAATGACTGTTCCTCAGTGGCCGGCTGAAACCACAATTGTCCTGTGAAAGATCGAAGAACCGAAGACTGGGAAACCAATCTGTCTTTAATTGCGTACCATATTTTAAGCGTTGTGTTGAGAAATGGATTACTTAGATTATATTGAATCTTTTGGAAACTTTTTGCCCACAATTCTTCCTTAAAGGTCTTCTGGAATAGGTAAGTGCTTTCAATTGTCATCCAGTCCGTCTCTGGGGAAGCATGATAATGCCAAACAAGATTAGTTAGGGTGGCTGCTATGTAATATCTCCTTAGGTCCGGAATCAATAATCCTCCTCTACGAACGTGTCTGCTCATTACCGACGATCTAATTCGAGGGGCCTTGTTTTGCCAAATAAAGTTTTCTATAAGGTTTTGCCAGCTATTCAATAAATAAGGGGGTATATAAATTGGTATGGCACGAAAGTAAAAGAGAAATTTAGGGAGAATAAAACTTTTGATCAGGGCCATTCTGTCCATCCATGAGAAAAATTTTGTGTCCCAGCTTTTAAACAAATTTTGTAGATCTTTACAAATTTCTTGATGGTTGCATTTTATAAGATCCGTTAGATTGATTGGTATCTTAACACCTAGTGTTACCCACTGGTCCTTAACCCATTGATATTCAAAGTTGTCCTTGATGTGTTGCTTTTCTTGATTGGAGATGCTAATCGGATATAATACTGACTTTTTAGGGTTAGCCTGCTAAATACAATAAAATCTTCTCTCTACTAGTATGAGAAGCTTTGATAAAATTGTATATATTTTAGATATAAGTCCAGACACTTGTCCAAATTCTTGCAATATTGATTGTATTACTGGTACTGACTTTCTGGGATTCGTTATAAAGATGACTAGGTCGTCAGCAAAAAGACTAAGTTTGTATTCTTTATTATTAACTAAGATTCCTTTGTATTCTTTCTCATACTGTAGATGGCAAGCCAGTGGTTCCATGGCCAGTGCGAAAGAAAGGGTGACATGGGACAACCCTGCCTGGTTCCTCGATTTAAGAGTTATTGGGTTAGACGTTGACCCGTTTATTTGCAAGGTTGCATGCGGAGCTTCATATATCTTCTGAAGCGCACCTCTGAATACCGGTCCAAATTGAAGGTGAGAGAGAAGGCTATTTAGATATGAGGTTTCCAAGGTGTCGAAGGCCTTCTCTAGATCTATAGATAAAAAGATTGAATCATCTTCAGGATGTAATCTTCCTTGGTGGATTAAATTCAGTGTTTTGCGTGCGTTATCCATGATATCACGTTTAGGAATAAATCCAGTTTGATCTTGGTGTATATACCACGGAATGATGTGTTTTAGTCTGGCGGTTAATGTATGCATTAATATTTTATAGTCCACATTCAGGAGAGATATTGGTCTATATGCCTTAGGATCTGTTGTACCTTTGCCCTCCCAAGAGAGATACCACTCGGAAATACACACATAAAAACAACATTCTTGAAGAAACTAGAGGAACTTTGATACCGCACCCCCAACCCCCCTCCCCCCCAAACCTCAGAAATCATGAGCTAGACTTATCGATAAGGATCTAAAATTTAACACTTAGAAGGAAAAACAATTTAGCAGTAACAGGTTAGTATTCTCCTCAGCTTTCCGACTCAATCGTCAGCAATGGTATTCTGCCGAACTGGAATTCTGCTCCAACGTGCCGGGGAGGCAGGGCACTCCAGCCTTCTTTTCTTTGTGTTAGTCATGAGCTGCTCAGCCGGGGAAAACTCAATTTTCAGAGCTCTCAGAAGTGCCAACCCAGAGTCCATATCATCCGCTTGGTGATTGTTTCCATTGTGCCGAACTAATAAATAACCCGTTGACAGCCATCTATATCTGAACCCTGCCTCCGTTAGCTTCTGAGTTATCGGTTTCAAAGAAGGCCTCAGCTGTAAAGCCTCCGGTGCCACATCCGGGAAGACTTGAATCTCATCATTATTAAATTTAAAAAAGCCTTTAGTTTTGGCCATTTGCAGTATTTTAACCTTTGTTCTCGCATCAGCAAACTCCACCAAGATATCACGAGGACCTTTGTGCTTGTTCGAGTTGGGAGAGCCCAAGCGGTACGCATTTGTTATAATCGGGGCTACCCCTTCCTCTAGCTGTAAAGTCAACGCCAGCCAATGTGAAATAAACATAGCTACCTCAGCTGAGCCTTCTGCTTGCTTCACAAATCCACGAAACTTTAGAAATCGTTCCCTGGATTTATGCTCCAACTGAAATATTCTGTCTCTTGTCCAAATCTCTGCCCCTTGCAGCTGCCTTATGTCACCCTGATTAGTTATCGCTGCCTCCAGCACTGTTTCAGCAGTCTGAGATATCTTGTGCATCGCTGTGGTCAATTCTTCTAGCTGATCGGCCATAGGTTTTATCATGGCACTTATATCCGATAAAATTTCTTTCTTTAGCATTTTAACCCCATCATAGAGATCGTTTTTGGTAAGTGCGCTTACGTTAGAATCAGCCGTTATATCCCATTCCGCCGTTTTAGAGTCTGTCACTTTACTATGGTCAGAAACGTCAGATTGGGACTCCGGAGTAAAATATGAACGAACGGATTTCAAACCAATGGCAGCCGGCTTAATATAGTCTTTGCCAGTCTTGCCCATTGTTTTACGGGCACTTTTCACCCTTACCCCTTATTCCCCTGAGGCCGGAGAAGAGACGGGCTTCGGAGACGGATCAGCAGACGTCCCATCTACGAGCTGACGCCCCCCCCCCGGGTGGCTTTTTTTAATATGATGTTTGCTTAAGGGGAAACAAAAAGGGAGAGAGTCCTTGTTTTTATATATAAGCAAGAATATTTTGTAATCAAAATTATATTCGTTGTAGAGAAAATCAGAAGTCTTTATGTTCCTATTCTTTTTTCCTCTCTTTTTCTTTTTTCTTGTTTTTCTTCTTCATGTTGTATTTTGTTGATGTTTGCATATGGTTTAAATTTTTACTTTTTTTTTGTTTCCCAGTTTTATTCCTTTCATAAAATTAAAATTCAGTTCAAAAAAACCCCCGAACAAACAAGAGTTTCTCATCATATTTATCATGACCCCAATATAAAGGTTGGCATGTTAGTTAAGCAGCTAGTCATTGATACCAAATGGGGTCAAATATTCCATAAAGCCAAGAATGCTACCACGAAGGTTGCTACTTCCTTCTGTAGACATCAGTTTGCAAGAGAAAGTATAGTCCATGGAAAACATGGCCTGCTCCTACTGATCACCTACTATAACTGCAGGTAACTCCAAATAGGAAGAAATGGCTTGCTGAATATTTATCAAAAGCAATCTTTTAACAGCTGCTGTCACTTTCTTTTAATTGAATTTTAGTTTTGCATTAAAAAACAAAAAGAAAAACTTGGACTTGCAAGGTTGGCCCCAGTACTCCAGGGCAAAAGACAAGGTAAAGAACTATTCAGCATTTCAGTTGCATTTATAGAAACTTGACCTAACACCATCCAGAGTTTTATCCATTATATCTTTTTTATTTCAAAAAGGTAATTTAATTGTTTTCCCAACAACTTACTGACAGAGATACACAGTTTCTTTCCAAATGGCAAGGTTTGCTGCCATGGTCATAAACATAAGGATGAGGAAGAGGAGGCATCCTCATTCAAGCATGGTTGACCCGTACACCAACTGCTCTACTTTGAGTCATTAACCATTGGATTGTAAGGTGTATTATCATGGTTTTATTCTGAGATATTTTAAATTATTGTTGCGTATTTTAAATTATTTTATGAAAATTTGCCAAAATGTCTTGTTCTTAGTTCGATGGAATCACATAAGTTGCAATGTGTATGGTGCAATAAAGACTGACAGACATACCCAATAACCTCCCTTCTAACATTTCCCTGATGGGAACAGGGATGTGCTTGTAAGTGAAATCCTTATTCTTAAACCAGGAACATCTACCCACATTCCCTCTACCACACTACTGCACACTGTGGAATGCACTGCTCTGTCTCCTTTATGCTGTATTCATTCAACCTTGCAATGGCCTCCAAGGGTCATGGCTTTTTTTATTACCAACAGGAGGAAGACATTAATTATTCTGTTATTTTGATTTATTTTATTTATTTACATTATTTACAGTCTGCCTTTCTCGCAGGGACTCAAGGTAGATTACCCAAAATGAGACAGATATCTGATGCAGGGAGCTTTGACTCTCAAAAGCATATAATCCACAAAATCTTGTTGGTCACTAAGGTGCTACTTCCCTGACTTGGACAGCCCAGGCTAGCCTGATCTCATTAGATTTTGGAAGCTAAGCAGAGTCAGCCCTGGCTAGTATTTGGAAGGGTGACATCCAAGGAATACCAGGGTTCTGATGCGGAAGCAGGCAATGGCAAACCACCTCTCAATGTCTCTTGCCTTGAAAACCCCATGGGGTCGCCATAGGTTGGCTATGACTTGACAGCAGTTTCCACCAAGGTACTACTGGACTCGAATCAGGTTAGATGCTGTTGTTATTATTATTTATATCCTGCTTTCCTCCCTGATCAAGACCCAAAGCGGCTGAAATCGGATGGACGCTACATGGTGCCTTATCATTCATGCACATTCACTGACAAGGACGTGTTACAGACAAGATTCATCCATACCCCACTCAAAGACAACTTTCAGAGAGTCTGGAGAGAGAACTGAACTTCCAAGGATGAAAATTTGAGCAGTTCATGATAATAAAATGTTAATGAGGCAAAAAACAGGGACAAAATTGGGACACTAATTCACCAGAGATGAGGACTTGAATATCAGGATTGTCCCAAGTAAACAGGAGGGTATGCTACAATAGTTGTTTTTGTAATTAGCATAAGTTATCGAGCTCACTGATTAGTAAAATGAATCCCCCCCCCTTGTTCTAATAGAGATAATGCTTAGAAAATATTTGACATGATTTGACTGGTCAATTAACCAAAGGTTTTTTTGGGGGGTGTTGAACAGTAAAGTTGCCAGCTCTACTCAATATGCAGTCAAACAAACAGGACTATTTTTAGCCCCAATAATCTTACCACAGCAGGATTCAAGCACCAGAAGCTGAGCGTCTGTACTGCTGTTTTGTGTCGCGCTTTTCTTTTGGCTAGTGCGAAAGGGCCGTTGGCATCTCCAGGGTCAACTGTACTTTCGTTTCGCCAAACAAATGTCTGCTGCAAGGCGACTCTATAATCATCCGCATACCTGAACAAGCAAGCAAACACAAAACGGTTTTCCGCTGAGGAGCACGAGATGCACCTGCAGCGTTACATTTTAATTCATGTTTTGGTAATAATGCTGGAGACGAACGCAATTCCACTGACCTGTGATTTTCTTTTAAAAGATAAGAGAGAACCATGAACAGCCCTTTTAGTGTAATCTGAGCTGAAGGACTTATAACTGGAACCAAAACCACCTCTTCTTTCCCATGAAACAGTGTTATTCTTTCTTCCTTTTCAAGGGCAGCTGCAAGATGTTTCTGTAAAAGCCCCCCCCAAAAAAATTGCAGATCAGTTTGTGCGCTGAACAACATGGAAGCACTATACGCCACTGTCAATCCAAAAAATTCAGTCCAGACCCAAGTGCAGCATTTGGAACACCACAATTAGTAGCAACACTAGAGTCACTCCAAAGTACAAACGCTGTGACTAATGGTAAAATATTAAAGAGTAACCAAGTAATTATTTTAGATAGGATAACGGAATTCTGGATAAAAAGATTCTGCTGTTCATAGAGCAACTACGTCATACACTTAAGTATTAACAATCTATTTTCATCTTGCAGTGTTAGAAAACACAGTGAGTAAAGGGTAACATTCCATGCATAGTTCAGTTGGACAAAAGCCCAGAAATCTGGCTTATCCTGTGGGCACTGCTGCAGTAGCAAAGACAGATGGTATGGAACTGCCCTACTGTATAACCATTTTGGCAAGGGGTATTTATATATTCTAATTGGCTTTTGGAAATCATATGTACCTGTTTCTTTCATGCAGGATATTTTTGGTGCATTCCCCTACAATTTGGGAATCAGCATAAGTGTGGCTGAACGGTGGATTTCTAGCAACAAAAGGTTTCATTCTGAAAATCTGAAAATCCAGGATGTCACCTGATGGTCAGACAGGGATCGCAGAAACATCTGTCCTAGCCTTGCAAGGACATTCAGGAGGAATAGCAAGTTAATTCTTTTTGATAAATTTTGCAAAACTTCACATTAGGATGACTCCTCCTCAAGAGCAGCATTCTCAAAAACAACTGTCATGAAGCCGTTTTTGTAGATCAGTAAGGAAAGAATAGAGATAAATTAAAATAGTTTTCAATTAATTAACTTCTAGGTAGCTGTATAGAGAAAAAAGTATGAACTTTCTATTGTCGATACCCAAAATATGGTTTTTAAAAGCTTGGGACACCACAGCCAGCCAGCATCTAAATAGTATTTTCTATTAAGAATTACACATTCCTACCTGTAAGATGGGAAATGTAGCATTGGTTATACCCATATTGTGCAAGAACGCCACCATTTGCTGTCCATTCCAAACTTTACTAGAAGTTTCATAACCTCTCTCTACAAGCTGACCAGAGGTTTCCCTTAACCAACTGTAAATAATAATAAAACATATAAGAAACAGAGGACAAAAGACTGGAAAACATACTAACATTTTATTTTCTGTGAAATGTGCCAGGCTAGACCAATCTCGTAAGATCTTGGAAGCTAGGCAGGGTTGGCCCTGGTCAGCATTTGGATGGGAGACCCTCAACGAAGTCCATGGTTACTACACAGACACAGGCAATGGCAAACCATCTCTGCACGTCTCTTGCTTTGAAAGCCCTATGGGGTCGCTATGAGTTGGTTGCGACTTGACAGCAAAAGCAAAAATATATATTTACATCCATTCCCAATGCAATCAACTGCTAGCACAAACAGGCAATGCGTCAGAAAGACAATGAAAATGACATAAAAGGGGCAGGATTCAAAGACCTGAACAACTAGGTTAACAGGGGGGGGGGGGGGGTACTCTCAAATAGCAGGTGCCTCATAACATAGGTAGCAAGCCATTTTTGAAAGGCAGCTTTCAAAAGAAAACAGTTATATGGATCAGAGGGGCTTGAGTTTCTGAGGGGAAAAAGCCACCTCCCTAGATCACAACATTCTCAAAATAATGGAGCTTATCAGTGGTTGTTTGCAGGGTGGGACACATAACACACAACTTAGGGAAGACTCCTTAAGTAAGAAGTAGTCTTGAAGACAAACAGGCACAAAAACTTGGAAAAGTGTTTAAAAAACCAACACAAGATTATTTCGACATTGTTTGTGTTACTGATGGACCCCTCCGCTTTATTTATCAACCTATCCTTAATTGTTGGTCGTTTACATTTCATCTCCTGCTTTCCGCCTGGCGCTTTCACTAATGTTGGCAGACTTGACAAAGAAATCAACCTGAGTTTTTCTGATAAGGTTAAAAGGCTAGAGGCATTCAAGTCTTCTGTCCTGTTCCTTTCATCTGTTTCAAAAGATTTTTTAACATCTGAAAGAGCTACCAAGCTGCCTCTTTTACATGCTTTTACTTGAAAAAGCCTGTTGGATACCTCTCCTTTGTCAGACTTGCAGTGAGAACTGAGGGCAGAATGCATATGAAGTCTGGAGAGGACTCAGCAAACAGGAACTCTGATATCTTCACAGATTATTTCTCATCTCTAACCACCAACTGGATGTTCCATAGCCCCAGTACAATTGCCAACTCCAGGTTGAGAAATTCCTAGAGATTTGGGGGTGGGGTGAAACCTGGGGAGGGTGGAATTTGCAGAGGGGAGAGACCTCAGTGGGATCTAATGCCATAGACACCAGCCTCCAAAGCAGCTATTTTCTCCTGGGGAACTGAACTTTATTTTTTGTCTGGAGATCAATTATAATCCCAGGAACAATCCACATCCTACTAGGAGATTGGCAACCCTATCAGGCAGTAAGACGTAAACCTGATTGTTCTAACCTTAATCCTGACCAAGAATTGCAGGCAAAAGGAAATACTTCCTTACTCAACAAGTAATTAAAATTGTGGAATTCACTGCCAGCAGTGGTAGTGGTGGCCATGAATGCACATTATTAAAGGGGGTTACATAGAATCCTAGTGGATGGGTCCCTTGATGGCTACTAACCACGTTGAACAAAAGGAACCTCCTCATTCAGAGGCAGCAAACCTCTGAGTATCAGTGCTAAGAGACAACATCAGGGGAGGAGGTGGAGGCGGGGGGGGGGGGGAACAGGTTTTTTTCTGAAGCCTTTTCCCCAGTTTTTCTGATGGAAAAATTGGAAATTGGGGGGAGTACAGAAAATTACTCTTATGAAATACTTTCTCCTTTAGAATGAATGAGTGAAATGCTTTTGAAAATGAAGTGAGCATGCTGAGGGAATATACAGGTCTTAAATCCAAGATACCTTTCTGCACCTAGAAGGATACTTAATTTTTATGAGGGAAACATGCAGGGCTTTCATTGCTTCTCAATTATTGCATGCCTTCTATTGTCCTTTTGACTTGACTCTTCCCTTGTGGTTGACCTTTTCACCTCTCTGTCAAACTGATATACCTACAGACTGGATAACAAGTAACTTACTGCCCTACCTTGCTGAAAGGGAGAAAAAGATCAGAAATACATGGGGCAGAAACTCTGAAAGTTTCATTGTGAACAGAGCTCCCTTTAACTAGATATTACAAAGGTACATGTGCTAAAGTAGCGTCGGGTGCATCAGGTTGCAGTTTTCTCTCAGGTACCAGGTATATTTTCCATTTTGCTAAGACATTTATCACTTTTAAATTCCAAAAACATGTCATATATTGCCATTTTATATCCTAAGTACGTCTTACTTTGTCAGACTGCAGCAGACAGCCCGCAGAGGCTCATGGTCCTTCCTCCGAATGTTGCTGTTCACCAGGGCATCCAGCTCTTCTCGAGCCAATCTAAGCTGAGCTTCTGTCACGCTGTAGCTGGCTGATTCCCGCGCACAGTCCTCAATATTATGAGCTTCATCTAAAATGACCACTTGGCCTTTTAAGTCAATCTCCATCTATAAAAGATCAAACTCCCACCGATTAGAACACACACACCTCAAAACATGGCGTTATAATTTGCATTGTTTCTTCCATTTATTTATTTAGAATATTTCTACGCCTTTGTTGGAAGGAAAAGTCATAAAACTGCGACTGACTTATTTTGGCCATATCATGCAGAAGAACTCACTAGAAAAAGCAATTATGCTCGGATTGGTTAGTGGCAAAAGGAAACCGGGCCACCAAAGAACACGGTGGCTAGACACCCTAAAAGTCAACACCAGCCTGAGCATGGAACAACTCAAAGAAACAGTACAAGATAGGAAAACGAGGAGAGAGCTGGCCCATAGTCACCAAGAGTCGGACACGACTGAATAGCTAACAACAACAACAAGCCTTTCTTGACTTGTTCTTGTAGGGCACTGCGCATTCCATGTGGGAGTACTAAAACTTATGGTGGACACAGAGACAGCAAAACAGGTCATTAGGCATCACACTAGCAACCACCTAGAGAGTTGGCACCTAACCACAGGTTTCAGGTCCAATGGTGGGCCTTTTTTTATCTTCATTTCTTTCTCAAACAGCAGCTCTCCATCCCTGGCCTAGATTCCATGGCAAGTTTCTTTTTAAACCACATACAGATGGAGAAGCTGACATTTTCCATTTAACTGAAAAAGTCAGGAGCAGACCACCCAGTGCTTGGTATGGGAACAACTGATGCTGAAGGTAGGTGGGTGTGGAACCCATCAGCCCCTTGGAGGGACAAAGAGGCAAAGGAGCAACAAAAGAATATTCCTCGCCTTCAGGGGGAGGATCATGCTGATCAGTGGAAAAACAAACGTCCTCCACCATCCCCCACCCCAGCCCTCAATGAGTCTAATATCCAGAAATCCCATATCCAACCACCAGCCACTGAAATAAACAAATGATCTTAAGCATACACTAGGAACATAATTTGACAAAATCTGGCACTAATCCTTTCCTCTCAACTGTAAACTGCTCACCTAGAAACCAGAACGTGGGGCTTTCTTTGGATGCAGCCTCTAGTAGCCAATTTTTCATCTCGCTTTCATTTTAAAGGATGAAAGGACATTTGAAAATTCACTTACGCTCTCTCTTATTTGAGAGTCTAGAAGATAGTTGTAAGGGCAAAACACGATCTCAGCTTCCACCATGAGCTCCCGAGCTGCGAAATAGGCGCAGGAACGCAGCTTCTTCCCCAGGCTCACTAAATCTTCAATGTCCCAAGCCTGAGATTTCTTACGGGCAACTTGTAAATTGTGATGTTCACTAAGCTTATAGACTCCATGGTAGTAAGAACAAGATGTGCCCTGGAAGCACATAAGAGAAAAATTCAAGATCTGAACTCACAGTACAGTATGTTCTTCAAAAGTGTATTTCAGAGAGGGTCAATCCAGCTGAGAAAAGACAAAGGAAATTCGTGCAATTAAATGCTGAAAAATCTTCAAGCCAATGTCTAGAATCAGAGAAAAACAAGCCTACGGTTCATTCTAGTAATGAGGGTTGTGTGTTTTTAATGCTAACCCCTCCCACCATCAATCCCCAAACTCAACTAAAAGCACCATTCCAATTAACCAAATTTGCATATATTTTCTAACCTTTGTGCAAGTAGTCTACTACCAACATTTAGAAAGGTTACAATAAGTATCGCTTCACACAACTGGTGGTGGAATGTACCCTCAAGTCACAGCCAACTCATGGTGACTCCGTAAGGTTTTCAAAGCAAGAGATGAACAGGAGTGGTTTGCCATTGCCTGCCTCTGCGTAGCATCCCTGGACTTCCTTGGTGGCCTCCCATCCATAAACTAACCAGGGCCAACCCTGCTTAGCTTCTGAGATCTGTTAAGACGGTCTAGTCTGGGCCATACAGGTCAGGGAGTTCACAAAATTAACAAGATGTAAATATTCCATGTATGCTGAGGCAGCAGGGTACCACACAGCCTATTATCAATGCACGCAACATAAATACACATGCATACGTTAGTAGGGTGCTGAATGGTAAGGCACAGAATGGTAAGGAAGCCGCGAATCAGTTAAAGGCTGCAAAAAAAGAAGCAGCAATATGAAGGGGGAGACATAGGTCTGCTTGAGCACTTAAAAGTTTATCATATAATTATGGAGAGGGAGATTTGGGTCATGTGTGTTTTATTCCCCACCCCCATTAGACCTTGCAGTCCCCAACTCGTTTTGTGCATTCATGCTAACCACTTTACAAATTGCATTATGGAAAACTAGGATGGATTTAAAAAAAAATAAATCTTAAGGTTAGACTACTGTAACGCTCTCTACATGGGGCTGCCTTTGTCACAGTTCCGGAAGCTGAAGCTAGTGCAGAATGCAGCGGCCAGGCTGTTGATGGGTCTCCCCAAGTGGGAGCACATCCGGCCTGGGCTGAAGGCGCTGCACTGGCTGCCAATAGCATACCGAATCCGCTTCAAAGTGCTGGTACTTACCTTTAAAGCCCTACATGGCCAGGGTCTGACCTACCTGAGGGACCACCTTTCCCCACATATACCCCCAAGAGCACTTCGGTCAGGGACCCAAAATCGCCTGGGGATCCCAGGCCCCCGGGAGGTAAAGCTTGCTGCGATCAGGGACAGATCCTTCTCAGTGGCGGCCCCCACCTGGTGGAACGAGCTCCCGGAGGAGATCAGGGCCCTGCAGGACCCTATGCAGTTCCGCAGGGCCTGCAAGACGGAGCTCTTCCGCCAGGCTTTCGCACACGGGCCGCCGCTGTCACCACCACCAATGGTGGCAATACCATCAGGATTAGGAATTGCCCTTGGAAGCTCAGCCATAAATTGTGTGACATTGACAACGTGGTATTGGCTTGAACTATCTACTGGACAGTGGTACCCCAATGGGGAGGATTCGAAGATGCCATCAGAACCACTCAAGACCATCTTGTTTACAGAAAGCACTTTATTATTGTTATTATCTATATACTAATAGCGAAGTCGCCCCCCGTGCGTGCGGATACCTAAATCTGCGCATTGGGGGCACCTGGGGGGGGAGGGAGATTTTCGTGCACACTTGGGGCAGTCCCCAGGTGTGCACTAAAATCTAAAAACCCAGAAAAAATATTGGGGGGATACTTAAATCCCCCCAAAAGTGACTGAGCGTCCCCTGCGCATGCGCAGGGAACGCTCTGCAAACTCCCTCGCCGCCGCTTGGGGGGGGAAGAGAGCAGCGAGGCCCGAGCGCCTCGCTCCGGAGCTGGGGGGTGCAAGAGCCGGGGTGGGGAGGCAAGGGCAATCAAGCAGGGGGGTGTGTGTGGAGGAGATGGGGGAGGAACCGGGGGGATGGGGGGAACTTACCTCCTCCTCCTGCTTCCTCCTCTGCCTCATGTGTGGAGGTCCCTCCCCCCCGCGAGTATTGCGGGTCCCACCCCTTGTTGTTACTATTTATGATTTTATTGTTTTATCTGGTTTTATGTATGAGTTTATGCCCCTTGTAAGCAGCCCTGAGCCCACTTGTGGGGAGGGCGGGGTAAAAATGCAAGGCAAGTAAAGTGCAAGGGTTAGTGGGCAAGGCAAGGCAAGTAAAGTGCCCTCCTCTCACCTCTCCACTGGAAATGGTGCCCCTTTTGCTCTGCTTTCCAAACATTATGCAATGCCCAGGCGATGATACCTGGGAGAGGCAGAGGACATAGCCTTCCTGTTAGACAATGCCTGGGTGTTTCCAAGCCACTCTCATATAAATCAAAATGCAGCTGCATGCCTGAACATAACCAGCTCCTCAACACACAATGCCAGGACCTAGGAATTTGAAAGAACTCACACCTCAGGGGAAAGGGATGAATGAACTATGGAGAAAGTCAGCCCTCGGGATAATTTCACTTTGCTCACAACTAGTGCACACCCATAGCATCATCTCCTTTTTTGATTTATCAGATTATAGCTGTGGGCCCACCCCCCTTTTAATAATAAAACCACTTTTGTATTTCCCACTATGACTGCTGAAAGCAAACTAAAAGCAGAAACAGAGCGAGTCCATGAAATTCTACCCTTTAGAAGCTGCTTCAAGCATACGCAGGCTGATAACCAGACAGGGAAAGTTCATCCCTGTTAAGCTTGTAACACAACCCTAAGGGGAGGTTGGCAGTCGAAGTGTTATCACACTTGGTGCCTCTCAGCTCGCAAGTTGTCATTTATCTGTTTATCAACTGACTTTTGCAATACAGTCTTGGGGGTAAAACAAAGACACCTAAAGTGACAGAGTTAATTGGCCCTCATTACCACCACAACTCACCCGCAGGGCTCAGAGGGGAGCATGAAGACTGAATGCTTTGCTTACACTTGACAAGTACCAAAGTCACTAAGCACAAAATAACTGTGCGTTCCTCAGAAAACATCACCAGCCGCTAGCTGGCTTTGGACTTTGTTCTCATGTGGTACGCTGTACAGAACACAGTAGAAGATTTGAAGCGAGAAGAAATGGGTCCGGATCCATGCTCAGCCATGAAGCTCACGGGGCAACCCTGGACCACTCTCTGCTAAATCCATTCATAAGTTTAACATGAGGACAAAATAAAACTATTCGTTTATTTATTTAGGCCAGGGGTCCCCAAAGTCTTGCCCAAGGGCACCATGGCGCCTTCAGGCACCTTTTCTGGTACCCACCAAGCATTTTTTTTTTAAAAGGAGATGGGGCTTTTGCCTGACAAGGCTTCCAATTGGCCACTGTAGATTTCATTGGCTGTGCATTTTTTTTTAAAAAAAACCCATTGCTTTGGCAGCAGCTGCCAGCACTGCACAAGGATCTTCACTGTGTTACTGAAGGGAAGCCATTTTAGGGCTGACTCCACCTCCTGAGGCAGCCATTTTGTGGCTGCCCCCGCCATACTGTGTCAGAATCCTAAAGGTGCCCACAGGCTCAAAAAAGGTTGGAGACCCCTGATTTAGGAGATTTCTATGTCGCCTCTTCACCATCCTGCTCGAGGTAGCTTACAAGAAAGTAATAAATTATCAATATAGAGACCACAAGCTGTTAAAACTAGCCATTACATCAGATACTGAACCAGAAGCAGACAATAAAATTGATGGAAACCCTAAATAAAAGCCTGTGTAAAAAGATATGTTTTGGCCTAGCACCTAAAAGGCAGTAAAATATGTGTCAGGCAAGCCTCAAGGGGGAGGGTGTTCCAAAGGCAAGGTGCCACCACAGAAAATGCCCTGTCTCTAGGGGCCACCTACCTGACCTCGGAACACAAAAGCACAGACAGTAGGACTTGAGAGGCAGATGTTACTGGAGGGTCGGACAAGTGAAAGCTTGTGCTTATGTGACATAGGAGAGCTCTTAAATGCTCCTCTCCTATAATGGGGAAGAGGCATCTGACCACCTCGAAGAACGGCTCAATCTGAAAGTCAAGTTCAAGTCTCAACTCTGCCATGAACTCACTGGAGAACCTTAAGAAAACCACTGTTCCCTCAGCCTTGGCCATCCCCCTCCCAAATATGCAAGGTGAGAATAATTATGTTGATTTACCTGACAGGGTGGTTGTAAAGATAATGGAGACACTGTAGATAAAGCATTTTACAGTGCTATATAAATGTTAATGTGTTATTTCCTGTCTGTGTAAAAGCTGCTTAGTAATGCCCATATTTTCTTCAGAGCCAAATATTTGCTTGGAAACTTGACCAAGTATAAGGATCTGGAACTTCCGAGTGCCACCTGAGCATGATGGGAACCATACCCATCTCCTTCCAAGAGTAATTACACAATCCACAACCCAGTTAAACCAGATTTCTTACATTTGGGTAGATTTATTTATGAAAACATCTTTCCTCTTGGTTCAAGTCAGCACTCTTTTGGCCCTATTCACCAGGTCTACAAGTACTCTTGGGTTTCCAGCTTCATTTTGTCCAGTGTAGTTTGCCATACCATATTTTATGCTAGGTAAGAATGGTAACAGTGGTAAAAATCTGTCTGGGCATCCCGTGCTACACAGTTACACAGGAAAATGAAAGAGAGCAGCACATAGACACAGTGAACATGGTGGAAGAGCATCCATTTTGCACACTATATATTCCCCAGTTCAATCCCTGGCATCTCTAGTTAAAAGACTCTCAGGTGGTTTTGGAAAGACCTTTCTCGGTCCGAGATCTGGCAGAGCCACTGCTTGCCAGACCAGACTAAAGTGAGCTACGTAAACCAAGGTCTGACTCTACATAAAGCAGCTTCATATAGCTTGGCGAAACTTTGCACATATCAAGTCCCAGATTCAACCCCCAGTAAAATGAACTCCGGGGTTGGAAAAAAGGACCTGTTTTCTACTTGAGGCCCTACAGAGCTACTGCTAATCAGGAGGTGGCAACACTGGCTAGAACAGGGTGTCGAGCTCATTTGTTACGAGGGCCGGATCTGACATCAATGAGACCTTGTTGGGCTGGGCCATGTGTGTCATAAAATGTAATGCCAGGTAGCGGAGATATAAAATTTATAAAGGACACAAACACAAAGGTGGTTTTTTTACTTAAAATAAAAACATGCTTAAAACATTAGCACTCTTGCAGTATTATGTTTATTTAACAGTGTCTGATAACTGACACCTCTTGCTCTGAATTATTGCATCAAAATGTATGTGCTGCTGCCATCTTGAGTATGCTGTTCAGGTGTGTATCTGTAAGCTGCAAACCTACAATAACACAGCAGCAGCAGAACTGGAAGAAGCAGCAGAAGACAGCCAGTTCCACTGCGGGCCTGATCCGTCCCCCGAGCCGCATGTTTGACACCCCTGGGCTAGAAGGACCAATGGTATAAAGCAACTTTGTAGATGTTTACACCGAACCTCTCACCTGTGCTCATAGGTTTCTCCAGAAACACAAGCCCTTTTAGATGCCGATACGTCACCTAAAGCGTTTGCCAATCACTTGAATGCTATTCCTAATGTACAGAGAGACTTTTTTGTTTAGGAGAGGGGAGAGGTGCTAGGGAAAATCCTAACTATATTTGTAAAGGTATTTCTAACGTTCAGACAGGCACAAGTCCCTTGTTTTGTTCAGCCCCATTTTTCAAAACATCAGATAAAAACATTAATCTATTCCATGAAACAAGAAGACAATAAAGTAGCTGGTTGGTTTTTTGTTTTGTTTTTAAAAGCAAACTACTCACATCTTTTGCTTCTAGCAACTCTACGCATTTTTCATTCTTGTTGCTACAACCAGATACTGTTGGGTGAACACAGGAATGGTCTCTGCTGGACAGAATTGTCATACGGGTGCTAGAATATGCCGTCCTCCTCAGTTCTCTAGTGATCTGAGCGATCTGTTTGTGCGTTCGTGTTCCAAAAAATATCTTCGGGATAAATGGCTTCCCTGCATTTTCTGTTTTCTTTACCTCAACACCAGCTTTGGCATTTTCCTCCATAGAACAGGAACACTGAGTGCAGGAGCTAGAAGGCTGTAACTGAAGTAGGGAAATCTCATGAAGAAAGTGAGTGTTACAGAAACAAAGAAAAAGCCATTTATGTTTTACTTGAGAAGAGTTTAAGTTTTCCCAAATGCAAATCTCTGATTGAAAAAAAATGCAGATCTCATTCTCATTTTCAGAGAATAAAGGATTAAAATGACAGAATATCCTTGCCCTACATAAACTCCGTACACACCCATCAAAAGTATCGCTTCAGAAATAAGTTTTAGACACTCTCAGTCAAAGTCACCTGTGAAACAGCATTTATCAATTTTTTTAAAAAATCAAAGGATAAGAATACACGGAAGACTCAGTAAGACAGAAATAAAAGCCTTAAAAGCACCACTTTAAGCAAAGAAATGTTTATAAGTTCCATAACGTTAACAAGGAATGTTTATAAGTTCCATAAGGTTCGGTGCACAAATCAGCTCCATTCCGTAGAGCGGCAGAACCCCAGGAAAGTCTCAACACGTCATTTTTTACTTAAAGTGCTACCATGATACCACATTAAATCTTCACTATTTTATAAACAAAATAGTTAGCAAGACATGCCATGGCAGGGAAATCGGGTAAACATTTGTGAGTAAATACATTCAAGTCCTCCACTGGAAAATGTTTTCCAGCACTTAGCCCAAAATATCCAAGAACTGAGCATCAAGCTAGACCTGAGATCAGGCGATTTGTGAACAGATCATCCCAGCGATTCCAAAAGGCAAACAGCAGGTGCAACAGGGTCCTGATTCAGGCTCCAGTGCAGGAGAGGGCGTTTAAACCCTTCCATCCCCACATAGTTTTGTCAGTCAAACCTGTTCCCATTCCAGACTTGAGAAGGGTGCCTGCCTTTTTTCAATTCCAGGGCTAGTAAGAGGGAAGGGTCATGTCCTATCTGGCTCCGTAGAAGACTGGGCTATAGCTTTTCCTTCTTGGGCTCTGAACTGAAGGCTGTTCAGCTTACAAAAGACGAACACGGGTGATGCTGACAATACTTTCCTCACCTGCGCATAGTGAAGCACCTGCTAAAATGCTTCCTTGTATTCCACCCCAGGGGTTCAATTAAGCATTTTATGTATCATACATGAAAGCCAAGCACGTGGAAATTTAAGATCTGGTTCCTTTATGCTACAAACCAAAGGATACTTAATTGGTGTTATAGAAATATATGCCACAAGACAGTACTGATTCTAGAAGGGCAGTTGTTGTTAGTCTGTTGTATAACATCAGCAACAGAGTGCACTCCGAGGACTAGCAAAATTATGAGGGGTGACTATTTCCCCTCTCCCTTCCCAGTCTTCCTTACAAGAGTTCTGCAACATTCGACTAACACAAAACGAATCCTGGATAAAGTTCGCTGTGCAGTAACAGGATAACCTGGCTTCCTTTGTTCCGCTCTAATTACTTTGTCACTAAGGAACTCTCAACACTTGCACACTTTCGTAGAAGGCTGCTATAAGATTTTAATTAGGAGAAAGCAGATATTTAAGAGGGAAAGGGGGATCGGGAAGCTGTGAAAACAGCTCCCAATCTGTACTGCGGCAAAAACCAGCACCCAAGATTATTTACATTTTTTTAAAAAGAAAATGACGCAATAACACAGGGATCCAAAACCAGTATTCTTGTCAGCTTCAAGAACTTTTTTTTTGTAGCCCTCTTCTTAATTGTAATCAGTAAGATTATCCTTCATAAGCAAACGCTAAGTCACTGTGCGTGTTATGCCACAATACCAGGGATCAACTGTCTCTTGGCCTCGACTCCGTGGAAAAGCGGGTTCAAGTTACCCTCGGTCCCACTCAACCTTGTCCACCATTAAATATTACAATACACGATAGAATGGAAGTAAATGCGACCCTTCAAGAGCTGTCACTCACTGGGATAAAAGGTTCGATGACGTGCCAAATAAACAGGCCGCCAAAGGAGATAAAGTTACCGGCCGCGCTAGAATTGTTACATTCCTCTCTCAGGTTGCCAGTAACAGCAGATTTCATTACGGTGTGCTGCCACATTAAATAGCCAGTTGCAAATATCCTGCCTTCTATATTGAATAATTACTTATTCACCAAAAGGATAAAAGGAAGAGTTATGAATGGAGCTTTTGTCAGCGGTAAAGCAGGAAACAGCTGATGCGCGGTGTATGTTACATATGCGACAACAACAGCCTCAGTTTATAGTCGCATGGAAAATTGGAATTTGAATTATTTCGTGATATTTGTGCCCATGCTCCATTTTGCCTTTTGGAAAAGAAAAGGGGGGGGGGAGAAAGTCAATGAAGATAACATTAATTGAAATAAGGGACTTGACCTGGGAGGACTTGCAACGTGGGAGACTCAGTGGGTGATTTTGGTCAGCCATAATATCTCAGGCTAACCTACCTTATAGGGTTATTGTGAGGGTAGAATGGAGAGGTGGAGAACAGCACATACTTTGTCTTTGGATGTAGGGTGGGATAAAAATACAATAAATGAATAAAAACTGAACAGCACTCCCAATTTACTTTCGGCATGTTTTATGCCATGTTAATGCAGGTGTTCTTCTTCAAGAGATTATGCAAAATTGTCAGTTTCGTGTGTCCGTGATAGCATCTTTCCTAAAGAAAACTAATATCAGTGTGTGCTACTCACTAACTAGTTTTATCATAGCATCACTTGTGAGTGTGGGGTACAGTATGGTGGGCCAGACCTCCCTCAAAGTGGTCTACCAGAAAGACCTATGACCATAACCACCACTTCCACTGCACGCCTTTCTTGCTTCTGGGATAGCAACTGAGTGGCCCAAGGCCTTGTCTCTGAGTCGGCACCACCATGTACCTTAGCAAACCAGATTTGTCTCGGGGCCTTCAAGTTGTTGGTACCTATATTAGATTTTTGTTGTTCAGTCGCACAGTCGAGTCCGATTCTTCGCGACCCCATGGACAAGATCTCGCCAGGCCCTCCTGTTTTCCGCCATCCTCTGAAGTTTGCTAAATTTCATGTTCGTTGCATCTATGCCACTGTCTAACCATCTCATCCTTTGCCGTCCCCGTCTTCTTTGACCTTCAATCTTTCCCAGCATCAGGGTCTTCTCCAGTGAGTGCTCCCTTCTCATTTGGTGGCCAAAGTATTTGAGCTTCAGTTTCATTATCTGGCCTTCCAGGGAACAGTCAGGGTTGATTTCTTTTAGGATTGACTGATTTGATCTTCTTGCAGTCCAAGGGACTCTCAAGAGTCTTCTCCAGCACCATAGTTCAAAAGAATCTATTCTTCGGCGCTCGGCCTTCCTTATAGTCCAACAAATAAGTCAATATACAATATTCCACAACAAAAATACAGAGTATGAAGCTGCCATCCAGTAAAGAGCCTCAGAAAATTTAATTATTACACTATGGAGAACCTGAATGCCCTCCACAGCAGATTTTTTTTTTTAAATTAAAACCCATTTGGCATTAACTTTTCTTTCAGGAAAGTATATAAAATATAAAATAAAGACAGTAAAAGCTGAGCATTTTTCCCCCAAAAAACCAGTATTTTACAGGTGGCCTTAAAGGTTTTTCTTAAAAGGTTCGAAATTGGTATAATACTACCTTTAATAAGCACTTCACTCTCTACTGCAGCTTTAAAATGTTACCTTTTACTAAAAACCAACATCAGGAAAGTAGTAAACTGGGGCTGATTTTATAGTAACCTGTAAAATAGTATAGAACTGCTCTGCAGTAGTCATAACATTTCTCAAAGCCACAGACGCCACCAGCAAAAAAACTAAAACCTTTAAGAAGGTGTGGGCCTAACCTGGGGTAGGAGAGAGAGAAATATATGAAAAACAGTTACAATTATAACTTTAGCAATTGAGGTCTGTTTTATTTAAGTTATTAGGCAGGAATTTCTCCCTTTAAAATTTTTTTCTTGCAGAAATCAATCTTTTACAAACACAGACTTTGAGGACGAAACTTATATGCATTTTAAAGTATACTAAAATAAAAAGCATATTACATTAAAAATTAACTGACGTACAAAGCTGCCTCCCATTCATAATTTTTATGGGAAGTTTGTACTTTGGGATTTGTGTCCATAATGTGCGGAAAGGTTATAATCAGAGTTTGTCCACATTTTCTGGCAAGCCAGACTAACACCTTCGTTTAAGCACTGCATATCCAGCTTAGATAATGAATTTTAAAAAACAGGCTTTTCTAGCTGGTGAAGAGCACTAGCAAATGAAGTCAACTAGTATGAGCTTGCTGAATAATAATTCATATTGTAGGGAGGTTTTGTTTATTGCTGCATAGGTTTAAAAAACTGCTATGTAGGTTAAAAAAAATGTGATGGCTGACACATTTTTGGTTTCCTAAATTAAAACTGGTGACATACTTCACTCTGAAACTTGAAAACATTAACTGTTAGTGTTCGTAATGCTGAAGAATTCTTCCGTTTCTCTATAATCAGGAGTGAATTAATAATCCACAGACATTCAACAGTCATAGCAGAAGAACTACGTACCTACAATGAAGGCTCACTGGATGAATTGAGGCCAGAAGAACTACTCCTGGGTAGATTCCCATGTGGCTATGTACCCACAGGAGTCTTTACTTACTTCGTATGATTCACTATCATTTCCCTTATGGCACTGGGAATTACTGGACCCTTAGGCAAATGCAATCTGTTTTCCAACTCTGTATTTAATAATTTTTCACCCTTCTAAGAAGTGGTGTAGGGTAAACTAGAGCAAAAAAAGCAAAACAACCCCACAAAATTATTTTAGATTCCCTCAACTGTGTCTAACAATCTCATAATCTCAAAACAAAAATGTGGTTTTGGAGGGTAGGGATGCTGAATTCCAATCCTCAGACCAGGAAGAATGTCTTTTTTAGGGCAGGAAGATCCTGTAAATGAATTAAAAGCTATTGCCGAACAAGGATGAAAACTGAGGCCTCCCAGTCTGCATGATGGCCTCCATATTGTGGTCTGCACATGCTGCAGAAAGGAATGTCCACATAACTGTGTGATATTCAGCTGCACAGTGAATGGTTGCAAACATTCTTTAACAGCTAAACAAAAAATATTGCATGGCAATTTTAGGCTATCAACAGCTCCTGCCTGGGAAGTCATTTCAGGTTTCTGGGATAGGGTAGGGACTAGATAATTTGGGGGGTGGGGGGATGGAGAGACAAGATTCATAACAAAGTTCAGATTGCTATGCTTGGATACTCTCAAGATTGTTAAAATCAGCCCTGACCTGGATAGCCTGATCTTGTCCGATCTCGGAAGCTAAGTAGGGTCAACTCTGGCAAGTACTTGGATGGGAGATCTCCTTGAAATACCAGAGGCAGGGGCAGACTTTATTCAGCCACCTCTCTGAATATCCTCCAGGCCCCCGGGAGGGGTCAGTCATAAGAGGTCACCAACACACACACACACATAAAAAAGATTGTTCAAATCAGTGTGTTTAAGAATCCTTTGTTATGGTTATTTTTTATATCTCATATTCAGAGTGTGGAATAATCTCACATAATTACAAATAGTTAGGGAGGGAAAGGGCTATCCACTATTTCTCTTGAATTCAGGCTAGAGCAAGTAATAACTGCTGTCTTTCTCTGTTCTGCTCAGTCTCATCTCTACTGAAATCCATTTTGCATGAATTTATCCAAACCAGCTTAAGTACACCCAACAATTATGGTCAGTCTTTGCATTATGGTTAGTTTCACAGTTTGTGAAGAAAAATCAGTTTAAAGCCGGAAGCTTAATTTTACTTTTGACTTAAAATTGGTTCCCACACACATACAGTATTTGTCTACATCTCTCAAAAACTGGGAATTCAAGTACAGAAGAAACTTTAGGTACCAACTCACTTCTAAAGAATAAAATACGTTATTTCAAGAATTTCAAATACACACACACTTACAGCCAGCATTTCCCAAGCATGTTAACCAGTACAACTTTATAAAGCCGCCTAGGAAATTTAATGCAGAATTGTTTCAGGGCATGCTCTAACTTTGGTCTGGGTAATAAAAAAAAAAGCCACCTACAAAGTACTTGGCTTATGCATCCACTTTAATGTTGTAATAAAAGAAAGATGTTGGTGTATGGGAGAGCGGTTTCAGAACAAGCTGTCCATAAGTTTCTCTCCTCCTCCCTGCGGGACCGAACTGCTGCCAACTCAGCAGAAGCCGTTAGCGGACCACCAAAAGGCTGACGGTAGCCCCAGGGTCGGCCCTACCATTAGCAGGGTAAGGTCACCCACCTCACAGGCAAAACGTTCTGGAATACCATTAAAAGGCACAAAAGTGCGAGTTATTTAGCTTATTGTTACATGTTCTCCACCATGGGAGCCACCCTTTGGATTTCTGCCCAACTATCTGGGTCTATCTGCAACCTGATTTGGTAGCCCCTTCCAGACACAGATGCCCTGCTCTTGGTCTTCTGCTTTTCAGAGCCTCTTGCTGATCCCTTTACTGGCCAGAGATCACTGCTGACACACAGGCAGAACCCGGCCTCTCATCCCCCTATCTAGGCTAGATGGTGGGCCCCTTCACTAGTGTCACAGCCAAAGGAAACCAGCCTTCCATTTGCTGTCACTGCTGCTTGTTACGGGGAATGAGGGAGGAGTGGAAACTAGCTGTTTCTAATATCAGATTATTATGATTTATTATCTGATCCCAACATAACATTTTATAAAACCATCTTTGTTGTTTTAGTATCTTGGGTGTGGGGAGCAGTTTGATGTATTTGCTGCTACCTGCCTTGCAATTAGCAATATTCAAGTAAATAAAATAATAAATAAATCCGCTGGAGTTTAATCCTCAATGCTGATTGCAGGTTAAAAAGAGCGACCTCCAATATTTCTTTTCCAGCCTGCAAAAAGAAGCCCCCGAGCTGTGGAACTGTCAGATTTAAAAATGGCGTGGAATTTTTTTTTTTAAGTCCAGATAAATGTAGCTGAACAAAATTGCTGCTTATTTGCAGTCTGGTTTAACTTCACTGTTTAACTTCAGAAGCATACAAACTGGAAAGACCTTTGATATTTTAAAACAGACAGGCTAAAATTCTCCTTATCATCATTTGGTAGCCTTGGTTTTTGTAGAATATGACTCCCACAATCAGAACCAGAAGTTAGTGGGGTCAGTTAGTTACTGGGGCCCAACTCCATACAGAAGTTAATCAACTGAGAACCAGAGCTGCCGTTTTGGCTGTGCAGTGATGTGGGGACCAGCCAGGTCTGAGGAAAGGTAAGAGTGTGTCCCAGAGTTTCCCAGAATGACACAAAGATTTCTGTAGGATTCTTCTCAGCTTACAAGCCCTGCTCTCTTTTGCTTCCCAGGATAGTTAACAGAGTGAGTTGTCGAAAGGTTCCCTAAAAGAAGAAGACATCAGCACTGGAAGAAGAAAAATACAAAACAGAACAGAATTAAAGGCAATGTCCCAGGAGAGGAAACAGAATTGCCAGGGTTTTTGCCCAGTCTTTATACATTTTGAAAAACGTTCACGTAACCATGGTGGTGCGACGCTAGAGCCGCCTAATGGAGATCTTCCCCGCCACCAGCAACACCAGTCGCCCAAGCAGCTACATGATCAGAAGGAATACATTTGAGTGTGGATAGATTTCATGGTCAATGCCGTTTCGTAGCCTCCTCCATTCCAAAGGACAGGGTTGCCCAAGATAAGCCAGTTTAGAAGGTCAACGATTATAAAGGCGAAGAAATGAAACATCAGAAATGGAAGGCAAAATTGAATGCAAAATAAGGCTAAACAAACAGCAGGGTTATGATCCTTGACATAAGACGCGATAAGAGCTCCCATGATATCCTCCATCTACATATCACTGGAAACAAAGCCTGCTTGGTGGTGAATGCCTACTGTGAGAAATCTCACACAAGTACACCCTGCCGAGATAACTGAAGTGGCATTATTGAAACTTTTCAACTCTTCTTTCCTCCACCGCAGTCTCCCCCCTCCAAGTGTTCTTTTTTTAAAAGTCGGTAGTCTTCAGCTTCTTGATTAAACTGCACAAAGCAGCTGTTTATCCACTTACAGTCACCAGCAGGTGAACCCGATTCAATATTTATCACCGGCTTTCACAGATCACCGCTAACCAAGCAAACGTTTTAATTAAGCTAGAGCTTGCTTCAAAGAGCTCATTCAGGACGTCAATCAGCCAGGGGAAGGGATCGGATACAGTGTCAGGTGAGAGTGTGTAATACAAATCCGCAACTTTCTTCATCCCATCGGTGGTAAGTTAGCCTGTCCGAGGGCCCACACTCTGATTGTAACAGACCGCCAGTCTCCTGGAATGTGTAACTGAAGTCACTCAAACCCCATTGTGAAGGTTGTAAGCAATATGTTAAACTGCAGTGGGCTCGCACATTAAGACAGATCCTTTTCACAGCTGTTTCTTGATACTCCAAGTGTTTGTTACACTACTCTCCATTTACTGTTTACTTTCTTTACCTAGTGTAAGTGGGAGATTCCTTAACGCAGCTGCCCCAGTTCTTTTTTAAAAGACTGTGTTTTAGCAGAATTAATCAAGAGAATACCTCAATGGTAGCATTACCCCACCAGCACCTTTTATAGACCGGTACTAGAATTCTGAATCAGACGTGGATCCCCTAGCCTTGATGAAGGAGGATGCTGAGAACAACCCAAGTGTTTTAATGTAAGAAGACAGCTGCAGTGTCTGCAGAAGAACACAAAAACACACAGCTACACATTGGATGGGCTGCATTTCCACTGAAGGTGCCCTCCTGGAAAACATTAGCGAAGGCTACCAAAGGCCAAGAACTCTGTTCAGAAGTTTCCTCTCTTCACAACATACTTCTTGCAACTTTCATCTGGAAGGAAAGAAAGACCATCCATACTGGGCTTCTTCTAAAACCTCAAAAGAAATCTCTTCCAAAGGATCACAACATGCCCCCACCCCCAATTAATTCCTTTATGCTATAAATGGTTTTCTGAGAAGGGGCTCCATCACACTGCTTTGAAGAAGTGCTGTCCAGAAGACTTTTAAGGAAATGAGAAGGGGGAAGTCTATGGAGTCTCTGTCATTACAAGGACGAACGGCTACAAACTGGCCCCTTGTGTACTGAGACTGGGAACTGGAATGGTTCTAATAGCCTGCTTGAAAGTGGCTGTGGGAGCAGAAACCTAGTAAGTTTCAGGAGGGAGCACATACCTCATTTATACAGCAGCAAAAGTATGCCTTTTGCAGGGTGCAAGACAGTATGGCACTGCCCCAAAGAGCTTACAATCTAAAGTTTTGATACATGGGAGACCAGAAAGGAAGTGGGCTGAGGTGAGAATAAACAGGGGGGAAGTCACATTCTGTTCAATTATATGTGCCGAAGGCCAAACATGCAAGACTGGAGTTCTTTCACTGGAACTCCTAACATGTGAACTGGCCTTTAAAAGCTCTGGGGAAGCACAGCTTTTAACTCCCCGTCTTCACAATCCCGTTTGCTACGTCAACCTCCTCTCCACAACTGCTTTAAGTTTCAGCAGGGGGAAAA